TAACACTAAACCTACCGACACTTCGTGTATACCTATTCCTACCGTGGTCGGTAAAAATGACCGGTGATTAAAAAAATAATAGTTTTTATGATTTAACTTAGATAATGGTTAATTTATAACTAAATGTATATAAAATGATGAACTTTTATAAAATTTTGTCGAAATTTACTTTTGTTTAATTTCAATTAAAGTCTTAAATGGAATTACACTTTTATTTATATAGAGATATATCTTATTCAACTTTGCTGTATTTTTTACAAATTATCTTATTATCAAATGTACATTTGCCGCATAAATATTTCCCGCATCTTAAACAAATTTTCGTAATTTTGTAACCTTTACAATTTTATTTTCTTGACAAGTTTTTTGTAGCAATGAATCTGAACTTGTTGATAGTTTTATTGCATGGTTGTTTCCCGCGATTCTTTATATAAAAGTAATGTATGCACTAGGTTTATAACAATTTTGTGAATTCTCTGTAAATTGGCTCCATACTGTAGATACAATTGCAAATTTATTGGTTCGTAAACATTGGCTTCTTTCGCTCTTCTTATCAAATCGTATAAGCCTCATAATTTCAGCAAAGTTATTCCTGCTCATTGTTTTTGAAAAAAATGCAGGTCTCCAAATTTTATTCCACAAATATGAGACATCTAAATTTTTTGCCTGATGTGCACCGCGGACATATAACAGAGCAATAAATGCATCCAGTTTTGTTGCATCTAGCTCCCTCTTAGTCCCCAATACTCTAAACGCTTCTTCTTCCGTACATTTTATTATATCCCTTATACGACAATTAATGATAAGATAAAATGCCATCTTTACTTGTCCTTTCATTATATGCCGTTTAGCGTATCCCTAAAAATATTATGAACCGATGTCCTGCCAGGTTTGGGACTTGCATTTATTTCTTTCCAAACTGTTCCATCGGGCCCAGTTTCACTCTCTGCTGTCAACGATAATTTCTTTTCTTTTCGCCCTTACGTAAACGCTTATTTATAGTATTCAGCTCTGATTAGATTGTAAATAGCTTTTCATGTGTTTCCATGCCGTTTTCAGTTGCTGAAGTTTCTTGTTCATCGCACACTGAACAGTCTTCTTCTATGTCCCTTATCTTTTTTTTTATAATTTTTTTTTTTGAAAAATCTTGACATTTCTAGGGTAAATATTTATCACAGAATAATACCACGTACGGAATACAAAATTATTGTCAAATTTGATGTGCATTACTTTTCCTTTTATAACAACTTTACACAAAACGCTTTGAGATGCTTTCTGTCTGAGTTTTAGAGATAACAAGTTTAGATGTCGACTAATTGACTAACAAACCGAGATGTATTCTAGTCGAAAAGATAATGGCAGGTAAAAATATAATCTGTGACGGTGATATTTATACGAAAATATTGATGAGTATTGACCGTTTTCCACCAACGATTACTCGAGGGTGGAGTTGGGAAAGCTTTTCCCGTGTTTCATAGCAATGAGCAATAACCCTAAGAAACTTCTCGACTTTTAAAATGTTTGTAACAATGTAAAAAATGCTAAATTTTGTGGCGGTTCCTTAGGATTATTACGGGCCTGAGTTCATATGTCTTGACAGCTGGTGGCTATCTTGATCGAGGAATGGATTGTTTTATGATAAGATTACAGGTGTAACAGCTGTTACTATTTGTTATTACTGATTTTGTTTGTCATCTGACCCTGAGGTCAGGCCTTTTCTTTGTACTTATTGCATTTATTTTATGAATAACTAATATATTTTGTCGGGCGGTCAAAATGACCACACACTGTAGGCAAGGCATATAAATTTTTTTCAGAAAATAAAAGAGCAAACTAAAATTAAATACCGAAAAATATATTGTATGCATGTTTTAGGAAAAGTGAGAAATTATGAAGCGATATGATAAAGTTTAAATATGGTTAAATTTGTGTAGAAGTCGCGAGAGCGGTCAATTTGACCGCGCCGGTAGGTTTAATGTTAATTAAGATAGGAGAAAAGTATCACAATCTTTCAGCATTGTAACGGAGGTGAATCCGGAGTGCAAAATTAAAGGACCATTAAATTTTTATCAAAAAATTGGTGATATTTAAACTGTTATTACGATTACGGGCTCAATTGTGAAGCCGTCAAAATCCTTGGTTACGTTTTCCTACAGAGGTTTTTGCACTTTGTAGAAGACTGCGAGGTACAAATTCGACCTTGCGACCTCCACTTGAAATATCACCTTGGGGTTATTCTAATGTCGGCGAGACACTTTTCATTCAAAGTTTAATAAAACGATGACAGAATATCGTACATCAACTCTACAGATGTCATTATGAAGGAAGTCTTTAATCTTCAAATTTGTGGTAACTTTAGGCATCCAAAAAATTTGTTGATATCTCTAGAATCGGTCGAATTTGAAAAATGTTCAAAACGATAAAGCATCTTCGCTACATGATACAGGTATCTCTGCAGGAGAAGATAAGATTCTGAACCTATAGGCCTTAAAATATAGAATAACAATTTTTCGTTCGAGGCTTTGTTTTCGAGAAAATCGACTTTGAATTTTCGCTCGGTACGCGTGCACTTTATCACGTCTTGTTATTACGGATCTCACTGTAGATCGTTGTCTCGAATTCTTTTATCGCGTAGAGTCACCCCCTTTCTGCTTGTACCACCAGTTACCAACCACCATGTATAATGTTCTATATAAGTAGAATAAATTAATACTTAAGCAATCAAAGAAATAATTTTTTATTATTTGCTTAAAATATATATATTTTAATTTATTTAATTGTATTATGAAAGATTGTAAATATATTGTTTGCTTTTAAATTTCTAGTATTACATATAAACTAATGATTACAAATTGTGTAAAGTAATTAACACTCTTTTTGTTTTGGAAAAAGTTATAATTCAATTATATTTAATAAATGTTTGACACATATTTTTTTTAATCACTGTGTGAAATACTTTTTGATCGGTTATTAATCTTCAGTGGTTCCTCCATTTGTATGTTGATCTCTTCCACTTTCTACTATATTGCCATCCGTGGTTTCTATATTTCCTGCTTTGCTATTTTCTATATAAGTCATAACAAAAATAAGATAATTCATCTATCATTTTAAGATACCACTTTCAGATAAATTCATATCATATACATATATATTAAAAAAATTATGTACCCTTTTATATTTGTATTATAACAAATTGAACAAATACTTACCAACTTCTACATTGTCCTCTATGCCTCCATTTGAATCATTAGTCTTGTGGTTCTTTGGACTTGTTTGAGCTGAAAGTCATATAAACTAAGTTACTACTCTAAAATAAAATGAAATAATAAACGTATTTATGAGAGTTTGTAATATCAGTTCATTTTACAAATAATATTTCAATAGGCTCTATATTAGTGGACCCTCACCAATTAGTTATATTATCAATACATATACATTAGCAACAGCATTTTATGATGCATACTAAATCTAAATAATAAATGAAAGTATTGCACACTGTATTTAAAATGTTTAATATTGATATACCTTTTATTTCTTCACATATCGATATAAATATAAAGACTAAAATTTAAGATCAAATATTGTAAACATAATCAAATAAAATAAATCTTCTTTATACTCTTTAATAACTTACACTAGAGATGAGAATGGTATTACAATTTAAAATCATAATCTATAATCCCTTTATTATTTATGTTCAATTTAATGCTTTTAGTTTAGAATAACATATATATGAGAATTTATTTATATTCACACACATTCACATCTTAGCCATTACTGTCTATTAAGTAGATAAAAAGTGCAATATACTTATTAGAAAGTCATTTGATTCAAATCTAACAATAGATGCATCAAAAATACAACAATTTTATATACACAATTACTGCATGAGTGTTTTTATTTCTGTGGCCGCCTTCTTCTCTCCTGAGATAAGAGAAAAGTATCGCTATCTTTCAGCATTGTAACAGAGAAGCGAGGACTTAGGCGCACAGTGCCAGGTGGATCTTTTGGAAGAATTGGAATTCCATGGTATTTCAAACCACGCTGACCAACTAACGATATTCTTATAGCTGATTCCGGAACAGGATCCAACTGAATCTTGTTAATTACTTCTCTTGTAGCTAAATTGACAAACCGCCAAAATATCACATAAAGCTAAATCAATTGACAATATGCAGAAATTAAACATAATGGAGCTGCATCAATGTTTCTATTAGCATCATCGATATGCCAGAATAATTTACAGAATTATTATTAAAAAAGCTGTTTTAAGAGGTACAAATGAGATATAATTTCAACAGAATAGCATCAAACCAAACTATTTAAATTACAAATATTTCAAATCGTTTTTTGATTTTAATTTTACTTTATATACACATGGTATCAAATAAGGAAAAATATAAAATAGACCAAAATACAAGAAATGTACAAAGTAAAACTTACGTTGTAAGGTAGGTGGAGCTTTCTTTTCAGGAGTTAGATTGCATGTAAGCTTAATTTTATCAAGATCATCCTTTAACTGAAAAGATTTGAGTATGACAAATATATAACTTAATAAAAATGTTATAAAATTTTAGAACTTTCTACATTTAATGTTATACCTGTTCTATGTCTTCCTGCAGCTTTTTATTTTCATCTCTTGTTATATTCAACTGTGAATTAACAGTTTTTTTTTCAAGTCTTAATGTTTCCAATGTTGTAGTTTTAGTAGCATCTAACTTGGTTAATGAATCCAATTCATTTTTGCACATATTCAAATTTTCATTTAAGTCATCATTTTTTTTCTTTAACTCTTCTTGTTGTTCTAAATGTACATGAAGCGATGCCACCTCATTTTCTGCATTTTTGTATCTCTGTTCAAAATTTTTGCGTAGTGTAACACATTGATCTCTTTCCTCGGCACTGAAATATAATTTTTACACGAATATTAATAGGTATAGTTCACCACAATATAACCATATATTATTATAGATCCAGATGTCAGTTGTTAAATCAACATTAATAAAGATATAATGTTTTCCAAACTTTTGTTATAAATAAAATTTAAACTTTAAAAAATAATAGAAAGTAAGTGTAGCTCGTAAAATGCAATACATTGATTGATATAAAATTGTTTCATAAAACAATACCTAATTCTAAGTTGTTCATTCAATTCGTCGAGTTGCCTAACTAATTCGATATTTTCAGAAGATAAAATCCACCAGTTGCAAATAAGCATTATACAAGCAGTGAGAAGTCCGCCAAGAACGAGGGGAGGACATCGGCCTCCTCCGACTCTCATACTGTCAATTCCCATTCCTTATTATATGTTATGTTTTATTTAACAGATACACACGTGTGTGTTGTAAATTTGCACGTGCATGAAAAATCAATTCTCACTGTATGTTAGCCGTATTCTATTCGAACAACGAGATGAAGAGGAGTAAATGGTCTTATCAAGTGTCATGGACCATTACTTACGATTAATTCAAAGCGATTTAAAAAATAGTGCTTTTTTAACCTCTTCTCTCGGCTAGACCTTTTTCTGGTAAATATCCACGAAATTTTCGTGGAAATAAACACGTTTAACGTGTTGTGGGCGTATCTACTATGCACTACCGGTATTGACAACGGTATATGTACATTTTATCACAAAAAGTACTAAATCACGTTATATGTTCGAGAGTCGCGATTTTCACCAAATATTAAATGACTTCATTTATTTATTGGCAAACGTGACATCGGCGCTAAAACGATTTAAAATCAATGCGATATATTCATCATGCTGGAATAACTAAGAGTGACGACTGGAGAGGCTTCTAACCATACTAACCACGCAATCACACATGTACGTCAACACATGCATTGCATATATATATACATGCACAAATATATGTTCCAAGCGCATGATCATATTTTATATATATACATATATATGTATACATAGAAAATATATTCATTAAATTTAATGACGAGTTGGCTGGTAGGTTATCGAATACATGTAAAACAGGTGGTACGACTATTTACAGGATGTCGCTTTTTTATTTTCATGTATCCTTATGAGATCGTCTCCTATAATGTTAACTCGCAGTGTAACCAGGAATCGAGGGACACACGACGATTACAGGACATATACATAACTGAAAGTTACAATAATATTTACTTCGATAACATTTTGTCCAGTTCATGTTTCGTTTGAATATTTGGAAGAAAATTATTTTACAAATGGAAGTTAAAAAAATAAAAAATAAATAGATACTCTTTTCGATTACTTAACAACGATTTTAAAAAATTAATTTTATAAATTGTATAAAATTTGGATTTATTAAAATTTATATTTTAATTAAAATTTACAAAAGAATATCGGAAAGATAGGAATTTGGAACTTTTATATGCTAAATCCTATTAGAGCTGAATAAAGTGAAAAATAGCGTAATGAACCCAACTGAATCTAAACTTTCAAATCCATTGTAATATGATTGACTGAAAGATTACTGGTTCAAGAAAGTAACAAAACTATATTCAACTAATTGATCGTATATAATATAAAAGAGAAGACTGCACATCATGTGGCCTGAGAAATTCGTTCATAAAACGATGTCATGTGAACCTCCTCCGTCAATCAATCCTCCCTTAAAACGGCACTTTCCTGAAAAATTTTTGTGAACGAATTTTTCAGGTACCAACGGATAGTTTTTGGCTCAATATTGGGGATTTGCATTAGAAAAATATGATGCGTAAAAAAATAGTCCTCGAAATCGTACACAAATCAGACAATGATTAATTAATATACTACGGATATGTATTTATGCAAATTCGTATTTTTGTATCTTCGGGTTTCCCATAAATGCATACAAATTTGCAGCCTACTAATTAATTTATTTTCTATTTGTGAATAACGACTCTAATAACTTATTCGTATTTATAAAATTCGTGATCTATTATCCGTTATTGGAATTATATTTTCGTTGAATTAGTTACTGTCGATTTAGCTATTACATTTGTGCTTATCACATTTGTAATTTCTTTTGTAAACACTTCTCTTTGGCAACTGTTTCTGAACGCATAAATGTGCGGAGTTAAACTTAAATTAATTTTATTCATTGTAATAATATAATTTTATGCGACATTTTTTTTTATTTAATTATATTGTATAGATAACTGTAAATATACAAATACAAGAAAATATTGTACAATGCATTTAAAGCATTTAATATTAAAATGATTTTTAATATGTATGTTGATATAAATGCAAGAATAAAATGTAAGAGCAAATATTATAAACATAATGGAATAAAATAAATCTTCTTTATATTCTTTAATAATTTGTATTAGAAATGGGAATGATAATATAATTTAAGATCATAATCTATAGCCTTTTTACTATTGATATTCAATTTAATACTTTTACTTTAGAATAAGATATTTATGTTATACATGAAAATTTATTTATATTCACACACAGTCACATCTTAAATCATCCTATGTATTAAGTAGATAAGCAGTACAAAATACTTATTAGGAAGCTACCTGATTTAAGTCTGAGAATAGATGCATGAAAAATACACTGATCTTATATACACAATTACTGCACGAGTACTGTTTTATTTCTGTGACAAGCTTCTTGTCTCTTAACACTAAACCTACCGACACTTCGTGTATACCTATTCCTACCGTGGCTGGTCAAAATGACCGGTAATTAAAAAAATAATAGTTTTTATAATTTAACTTAGATAATGGTTAATTTATAACTAAATGTATATAAAATGATGAACTTTTATAAAATTTTGTCGAAATTTACTTTTGTTTAATTTCAATTAAAGTCTTAAATGGAATTACACTTTTATTTATATAGAGATATATCTTATTCAACGTTGCTGCATTTTTTACAAATTATCTTATTATCAAATGTACATTTGCCGCATAAATATTTCCCGCATCTTAAACAAATTTTCGTAATTTTGTAACCTTTACCATTTTTTTCTTGACAAGCTTTTTGTAGCAATGACTCTGATCTTGTTGATAGTTTTATTCGCAATATCTTCATTCTTGATCTCTGTCGTGCAAAAGATGTTAAAATAGTTAGTTAAAATATTATGAAAAAAAATCAATCATATAAAATATAATTTAAGATATTCATTTTTACCTAGTCAGCCTTTAAAATCATTCGTTGTTCTGTCAAACCTAAAACAGCTATAGCCAAGTAGTCGTAAAAGGTTACTATCTCTATCAGGCTACAAGATTACGGGCTCTCATTTGAGGCATTAAGAGAGCCCGTAAGAGCATTAAGAGAGGAATAATTAGAATTCCATGGTATTTCATGGGATTTTGATCGTCTAACAGTAACAGAAAGAAATAAATTTCGTAAATATTGTAAAATTGATAATCCAGAAAAAAATAAGAATTTCGGAGTCAAGAGTACGGGATTGACGTTGTGAATAAATGTGCACAGGCACGCAAGTTTACATACATTTATTCTGTTCTCTTTATTACATATAATATATGTTTAGTTAACCCTACCATTGAAGAGAATCTATAGCTGAATAGAGTGAAAAATAGCGCGATCACGTAATGAACCGAAACGCCAAGAGACATTGCACTCACAGAAACTCGACGTCCAAATTCATCGTAACACGATTTACTGAAAGATTCAAGAAACTGGCAAAACTATTTTCAACTAATCGATCGTATAATAACATAAAGGAGAAGATCATACAAGCATGCGATTCCTGCGTAAGTTAATTCATTGCCAATATTAAAATTTTAAGGTATACTTCCTTCCAGTACAATTAACTCGATATCTTTATACGAATTACGTATATACCATTGCTAACAATAATTCTTGTATACTCTCAGATCGTTTACTTTATATCGTTACTTTTCTTTACGTAGAAATTTGATTAGTAATTATATAGTTATGATTAAAATAAAAAAGTTTTTCAATCTTATAGATTCAGTATTAAAATAGATTTATTCTAATTAAATTTTAACTAAATACGAACCATCCAATGTTGGTATTATCACCTTTTATTATCTAGTCTCGTTCGTTAATTGTACGCATTTTTCATTTCATTCTAACAATCATAATTATAAATTTCTTAGCGACCGTAATTATAAAAGAAAATAACGATCCATAATGTATATATACGGAAATTATAATTATTATCATAGACATCGTTACTGTTCTCTCTCACGTTCAGTGACTACGCCTGTACGTCTGAAGGAAAATAAAATATATGATAAATGTAATATGTGCCCCACCGGACATTTCAGTCACGGACACCTGTATATCATCGTTATGCAAAACATGTGAATTGCCGATCATCAACTTCTCATTACGTCCTAAATCTAGCTTTACAGATGTTCGTCGAAGGTTCGAAACATTCGAGCTAGACGTGGAAAAATAATCTATTGTTGCAAACGTCGTATGTTAGTATTCCGCACACTCGTACGTATTTACATACATACATGTACACACGGGACACGTTCCATTCAATTGTTCCTTTCATATAGTCTAAAACTTTCGAAAATCGTGCTGCTTCGAAATTAATCGATGTCGAACGAATAGATTGATTTTTCCATTTTCCTTCTTCCCACTCTCTTTGTCGTTCTCTTTTTTACTGTATTCCCTTTTGATCGATTTTTCAATGGTATTACACACGTATCACGTAAAATCTAGTTGAACACAAGGAAGTGCGAAGTTGAGTATTTGAGCAATAGATCTTTTTTCTTTTTTGATTAGAATTAGTGATTTGATGGAGTGTTTCGAAGCCACGACGTTATTTTACACAGCATTCCTCTCGAAACAGCATAATTGTCGATTAATAAGTTCTTTAACATGTATCGAACGAAAAGAATATCGCGGCATTTCTCGTCTGCGCGAATTTCTACTCACGACGGGTCCACGTGTTTCAAGACACGTGATAATTAACATCGAGATACGTCGAAATATTGCAATTTCTGTGAAAACTATTCGACAGAATTGCATTTAATGTCCTCCTTAGACTATTGTCGAAAAATCGGTAACTTGTCAACGTTTTTATCCGTCGTTTAGTTACAACGAATTTTGTTTCTTTCTTCAACAAAAGGAAAATTAAGATCACAAAAGGTATCGTTTTTCTATATATATGTATATAGAATGCAATCACACCTGTGCTACCTACTAAGAATAACTCTATGTCGATCCTCGCGTACATAAATACCACGTTTTGTTTTATTTTTATCCTTAATCGTTCCATCGGTTGATACAGTGAGCGGAATATAGGATGTCTCTACGGTATTGCTCTTCTCGGCTCGTTTCAAAAATTTACTCGTCCTTGTTCTATTTGCACAAGATGCGGCACACCTGATTAACCAGAAACATGTATCGTACGACACAATCGTTCGCGCATACCGTAGAATTATTATACGGAAACTCGCATTGTCCGCTTTCATTCTCTCTCCGTTATTCTCGATATTACGAAGTTTAAAAAAAAAAGAACAGACCAACCGAACTCTTCTGCGTTCTTCGATCAACTAAATTCCTATTAATTAACAGATACAAAATTTAGATCTGTTATTATCGATTTAATGAACGCTGTACAATTACGAGAAAGCGATGGACGCTCGAAGTCGGATGTCGGATGATGGTTGAAGATATAACCGGAAGAAGATACTGCACTAACCAGCACGTAAATGAACCCGCGTGTTCTTCGTCGCCGATTATATCAAGCTTCTAGAATGTTTAAGTGGAAGTCAGAACGTTTTTCTTTATGACGTCATAAAAACATAAACGCGTGCGAGTATGCATATGAAAGTTCATCGATGGAAGAAACGATTTTTGATATCGTAAAATCACACGTTGCTAATTC